CTTAGCTGTAGAGGGCAGCGTCACTGGCCCTCATATGTGGGATCTGAACTGGGGCCCTCTGGCGTCCCAAGCCAGCTCTTAACCAACACGCCACTCGGCTGGCCCTTTATTTCATTTGTTTAAAGTAAAAAGAAAACTGCTTTCATTGTGGGATATGGAAAGATTTATCAGTCATGTATCCCACCTTCAATGAGTAGAAAAGGAAGGTTGGTGGCGATTATCTGCCAGTCCTCAGATTTGTGACTTTCAAGGTTATTTATGAAAAATCAGACTTTTCTCATCTGGTGTCCAAAGTTAATAAATTCTCTCTGTTTCAACAGTCAATGACAGTAATCCTGAGGGTGAAGATCATAGAGAAAAGTCTTCAGATTGTGATGAAATGGATTGCTTAGTAGTCTCTGAGCCACCTTCAGATTGCCATAAAGAAAAAAGATTAAACACATCCATTCCAAAGGAAAGGAAAGTGAGAAATCTTTTAATTACTATTGAAAATGATACTCCACTAGAGGAACTCTCCAAATATGTGGATATCAATGTTATTGCACTTACCCGAAATCAGAGAACAAGAAGATGGTACACATGTCCACTGTGTGGAAAACAGTTTAATGAAAGTTCTTACCTTATTTCCCACCAGAGGACTCACACTGGAGAAAAACCTTATGAATGTAGTCACTGTGGGAAAAGCTTCAATCATAAAACAAACCTCAATAAACATGAGCGAATCCATACAGGAGAGAAACCTTATTCATGTTCTCAGTGTGGAAAAAATTTTCGACAGAATTCTCATCGGAGTCGCCATGAAGGAATCCATATAAGGAAGAAGATATTTAAGTGTCCAGAATGTGGGAAAACCTTCCCAGAAAACAAAGAATTTGTGCTTCATCTGCAGAGTCATGTGGCTGAGAGGCCATATGATTGCAAAAAATGTGGCAGAAGATTTGGTCGGCTGTCAAACTGTACCCGGCATGAAAAAACCCACTCAATATGTAAGACCCGAAAGCAGAAGTGGGATCGGAAAAGGTCTGATGGTCCTGCCTCAACCTGAAATGTTTCATAAAGAATTCTGAATTCCCAGACTGTGTGAAAAAATACAGATATGTGAAAACCTCATAATAGCCAAAACTGGATAAATACACATCTTGGCTGAAACCTCAGTTTTAGAAAATGCACAGGGAAGAAAACATCCTCAAGGGCTATACCTCAGCATCCAGGCTTTTTGGACTAAGGAGCTTTCTTTTGTGAACTTATACAACAGTATACAGGTTACAGATCCCTTCCCCGAGAAAGGCTTTGAATAGGAGTCTGGAGGCTGCTTACCTGCAAGGTGAACAGAGTGACTCTTGTATACTGAAATTATATCCATTTCTCCCCACCCCCACATATGATTTCACACTTCAGAAAAGAGAAATAATGCAAAGGTTGTTTTCTGGACTGGTGTTCCCCCTGAAAGAACCAACCTACTGATTTGTTAAGCCAACAGCTTCTATTGGCAATTGGTATAACCCTCAAAGAACCCTGTTAAAGCTTGAGTGTTGGAAGGGATTGTTTACTTTGGAATATAGGAAAATATGGCAATTGAATATCAAAGGCTTACTCTGTCATTTGTATGTGATCTAAACTAACAATTTCAGTAACGTTTGGTATTTATGGTGAAAAGTGACTGTTTTACAGAAATCATTTTCGCAACATAATTTTAAAATGTCTACTCTTTTTACTGTTTTTTATTCAACTAGTAATTGCTCAATCAGCTCTCTCATGCCTTTCCTGTGCCACAAAAGTTTGGATTGCTGAGGCCCAACCACCAGCCCCACTACTGGAAAAGCTCTTCAGAATCTTGTTCCTCTGCTAAGCCAAGAAGAAAACTTGCCAGGAAGGAAACCCCAAGAGCCTCAAAAGGAAGAGGAAGACATTGGCACGGATCCATGGCTGCTCAAAAACTTTATCATATGCTTAATTCCCCTCTAAGCAGTTATCAGACCTTTGGCAATGGGTGGTCACTACCTCACAAGCAAAGTGTTTTATTTTTAGAAGTCTCTCCATGGCTAGCTCACATTGCTCCTCAAGAAACAGGATTCCAGTGTCTTCATTGTAGTGGATATTTGTTCTTGTTGGCCTCCCTATATCCAGACTTCCCTGACTTGTCTGCCCAGGGGTAGACCAGCGGTTCCTTCATGGGACTGATCCTGTGGTGTGTGATTTTAAGGATTCTTGATCAGTTTTGCTGTTTTTGGGTTTCCCAGATTTTTACATTGGTATTTTGATTGGAATAATCTAATCCTATAAACTACTTGGAAAACATTAACTTTATAAATTTTGTTACCCATCCAGAAACATGCCTTTTCATTTATTGGAGTATTCCTTAGTCTCTAATTTTCCTCATGTAAGTTCCACACAATTTTGTTATTGTAAATAGATTTTTTCATTATATTTTTCTAGTTATTGCTCATATATATGAAAGTTTTTAATTATATATTTGTGAAACTAGCCACTCCACTGAATGTTCTTAATTTTCAATAATTTCTCAGTCCTGTTATAATTTGTGGTTAAAGATTACACCATCTATAAAATAGTTTTGTTTCTTCATTTCTGCCTGTCACGTCCAGCGTGGCAAGGGCAAATGGGTCTCGACAGGAGTGACGCAGATTGAATAAAGTCAAGAGACAAAATTTAGATATGAGCGAGACCAAGGGACTCAGCCAGAGAAGACTGAGCCCCGAATCGGGTCAGCGCGTGGCTTTTATTGAGAATTTTCAAGGAAGTAAAACTGCTGTCAATCAATTAGCAACCGTGTGTGATTTGTGTGCCTTAAAGCCTCTTTCCATTAACATATCCCATTGTGTTCCAACAAATGCTATGCCTTCACACATCCACCACATAGCCCCAGAACACTTGTTACTGTGTCCTCCCAGGGGAGATAACTATTATCATTCCAATAGGTCCCAGTCACCTGAGACACCCCCTAGAGAGAGCTTGTTTATCAACTTTGCATTTCAAGCCTACAGTACATTTAAAACCAGGGACAAAACTGGCTGCCAATGTATTCTCTTATTCCTCCAGAAGTTTGGCCAGGGTCCACTGGGTTATTGCACAGAGGACCTGCCTACATACCTAGAAAGCAAGGGCTGCATGGTACTAGGCAGTAACCAAAGAAGGTGCTTCCCTGCTGAGAGATGGTCTCCAAGGGTGTGGGTGGGTGATGCTCCCACAACCCAAACACCTGTCCCAGGCTTTGGTGTGCACAAGGGCCCATGAGGTCAAGGTCATGAGCCCCTACTATTCCAAGAGGGTGGGGCCTGGACAGGCCAGACTTCCCCCTTCCTGCCCTGCCACACCTGGGAGGGGTTGGAGGGAAATGCCCTTCACCCCCTGCCTTGGAGCACAGGATGGGACCTAGGGTCAGCTGTTCCCAAACACGAACGCACCAGACATAATAAAACTTGGAATAGAAATCAATGAAATTAAAAACGGAATCAAGAAAGTCAAAATCAAAAGCTGTTCTTTGAAAAGATCAAGAGAATTGATAAACACCTCACCAGGATAACCATCAAAAGAGAAGTCACAAATTACTATCAAAAATGAAAACGGGGCCATCACTACAAATCCTATGACTTCAAAAGGATAATAAAGGAATATTATGCTCATCAATTTCATAACCTAGATCAGCGGTTCTCAACCTTCCTAATGCTGTGACCCCTTAATACAGTTCCTCATGTTGTGGTGACCCCCAACCATAAAATTATTTTCGTTGCTACTCTATAACTCTAACTTTGCTACTGTTAGGAATTGTAATGTAAATATCTTTTGGTTTTCTGATGGTCTTAGGCGACCCCTGTGAAAGGGTCATTGGATCCCCAAAGGGGTCGCAACCCACAGGTTGAGAACCGCTGACCTAGATGAAATGGACCAATTCCTTGAAAGACACAATCTACCAAAACTCAACTTAAAAACAATCTAGGCCTGTATGAAAGTGACTGAATAATAACTTTCCAAACAGAAAACACTAGGCACAGATGGTTTCACTGGTGAATGCTACAAAACATTTAAGGGAGAAATTATGCCAATTCTCCACAATCTCTACCAGAAAATAGAAACAGAAGGAACACTTTCTAACTTGTTCTATGAAGCCAGCATTACCCTAATACCAAAATCAGACAAAGCCATTACAAGAAAGGAAAACTACAGAGTAATCTCTCTCATGGATATATATGCCAAAATCTTCAACAAAATATTAGCAAATTGAACCCAACAGTATATTTTAAAAATTACACACCATGACCAAATGAAATTTATTCCAGGTATACCAGGCCTGCTTTGACATTTGAAAATCAATCAATGTAATACATCACATCAACAGGCTAAAGAAGAAAAATCATATCAAATGTTGAAAAAGCATTTGACAAAATCCAACACCCATTCATGATAAAAACCCTCAGCAAACTAGGAACAGAATGGGACTTCTGCAATTTGATAAGGAACATGCATAAAACCTTACAGCCAACCACCATAATGATCAGAAACTAGATGCTTTCTCTCTAAGATCAGGAATAAGGAATAAGATACCCCCTCCACTCCTATTCAACACATACTGCAATTTCTAGCTAATGCAATAGGACAAGTAAAGGAAACAAAAGGTATACAGATTGGGAAAGAAGAAATAATGTCTTTGTTTGCAGACGACATGACTGTATATGTAGAAAATCCTAAAGAATACACAAAAAAACAAAACTCCTGAAACCCATAAGCAATATAGCAAGCTACAGGTTACAAGACCAATCTTCCAAAGTCAGTTGCTTTCCTATATACCAGCAGTGAGCAACTGAAATTTGAAATTAAAAATACAACACTATTTCCATTAGTACCCCTCCAAAAAAAAGTTGAGGTATAAATCTAACAAAATATGTATGAAACCTATATGAGGAAAACTGCATCTGAAAGAAATCAAAGAAAATCTAAATAAATGGAGAGCTATTCCATGTTCATGGATAGGAAGACTCAGTAATGTAAAGATATCAGTTCTTCCAACTACTGTCTATATGCTGATGCCTTCCAAATGTATATTTCCAACTCCAACATCTTCCCTGATGTCTAAGCCTATACATACAATTCCTTCTTGATAATTCCATTTGGATGTCCAATGGACATCTCAAATTCAAAATGGCCATAACAGATTTTTATGGTAACACATTATTGTATATATTCTGTCCATTAATAACTAACATTTAAGAACATTTACAATATTAATGGAATTTAAGAGAAGTTCAACTTCCATTTTTTAAATATTTCAATACTGGATATTAATAAGTCAAAATAATTATGGTCAAAATTATTATGTGAAGCTTTCTGCCTCCATTGCTGCTATGGTGCCTGTGAAAAAGCTTGTGGCAAGGGGAAGGGGGGCAAAAAAAAAGCAGTTTCTGAAGTTTACCCTTGATTCCACCCACTGAGTAGAAGATGGAATCATGGAGCTGCCAATTTTGAGCAGTTTCTTCAAGAACAAATCAAAATGAATGGAAAAGCTGGGAATCTCAGTGGAGGGGTTGTAACCATTGAACGGAGCAAGAACAAGATCACTGTAACTTCTGAGGTGCCTTTTCCCAACAGGTATTTGAAATATCTCACCAAAAAGTATTGAAGAACAATCTACATGATCGGTTGTGAGTAGCTGCTAACAACAAAGGAGAGTTACAAATTGTATTACTTGCAGATTAATCAAGATGAAGAGGAGGTAGAAGATGAGGATAAAACTCATTTCTCTGGAATGTTTTGTATGAGTTCTTGAGTAAAACTTGGGAACCAAAAAAAAAATACTATTATGTGAAAAACATAATGTTTGATATTAGTCTACATACAATTCCGTTTTTGGTGTTCTTTGGCTGCAAGAACGAACATTTGGTTTACTAATAGGAATAGCTCTTAATACTGGGATGGCTTCTTCTTGATATTACTTTCTGCTCTTGATTTTAGCATAATTATCTGTGATTGTATGAGTGGAGCTGATTGGAGAGGAACTCATGTGTATTCCAAATAAGAGTACATACCCGATTACTATAGTAATGTGGAGGTAGACAGGCAATACAACTGCCCAATACTTTTGAGGCCAGTAGGTTAAGCCTACGGAGTTTAGGCAAGATTTAGGAATAAAAGTCCCCATAAGATGCGTATGAAGCCAGAGAGGAAAAACAGTGAAAAGCAGAGTGTCAGGCGGGGGGACCTGAAACAGGCACACCGGAATCCTCTAATGTGAGCTTGAAGAGCACAGGGGCTGCGGAATCGCTTGCTTGCCGTTGTGGAGCCATAACAGAAATTTTGATTTCTCCTGCCATTGTTCTGAGACTGTTATCATGGAAGAAAGCAAAGGATTGTATCACATTCTATTATTTTTGGTGGCACTGAAATTGTCTCAGCATGGGAGATAGAAGATACAAATGTATTATCAAACAGGTTAGGAGAAAACTCTTTAGTCCTAAATTTGTATTGGAAGTATGGGTATGAACTGCTGGTGTATTTCTGCCTTAAGAAAATGTTTCCTAACTATCTACTGAAAGAACCAGGGGAAAATGATCAGCTTAGTAACAATGACCATCATTTCCCACTTTGAACATGGAACTTCAGAGAAATGGCCAATTCTAGGTTTGGAGCCAAAAAAAAGTACAGAATACAGAGTCTAGATAGAACATTTCCTCATACCAGATAGCAAGGATGCTATGCTGTCAATAGACTACTCAGATTCTGTCAAAAGAACTCAGAAGCAACTTATAGAGGTTTCTGCTGGCCTGATAGGACTATCTGAGAATTATTAAGGATAAGAACTGCAATTTTTGAAAACTATATAGTGTGTTTAAATCTTTGAGCTTATAATTATATTTAAAGATAAACTAGCTATATTTTAAAAATTAAAAATAGAGCTGCCATACGATTCAGCAATTCCACTTCTGGGTATTTATCTGAGGAAACAAAATCACTAATTCAAAAAATATATGCACCCCTATGCTCATTACAGCATTACTAGTAACAGCCAAGATATGGAAGCAACCTAGATGCCCATCAGTAGATGAATGGATAAAGAAGATATGATACATATATGCAATGGAATATTATTCACCAATAGAAAAGAATGAAATCTCGCCAATTTTGACAACATGAATGGACCTAGAGAGTTGTTATGCTAACTGGAATAAGTTAGAGAAAGACAACTAACCTATGATTTCACTATGTGGAATCTAAAAAACAAAAACCAAAAGAACAAATGAAACAAAACAGAAACAGATTCATAGTATGGTGAACAAGCTGATGGTTGCCAAAGAGGGAGTGGAGTGGGAATTTTTTTTAAAAGGCAAAAAAAAAAATCCCCAAACTACTTGATTCTCATTGGAGGATGCTATTGAACCAGCTCATTCTTTTGAACACTTGTAAATAAAAGAAAGAATCTCACATTTATCCTGTCTTTTTTATACACACTGTTGGGGAACCAAATAGCAGATGAGGGGAAGTTTTCTTCATAAAAATATTCTAATCAGTAAATGGAAAAAGTAATAAAATAGTTGATTTTGCAACCTGTAATGAATTCATGAATGTTATCATTAAGCATCAATGCCTGTTAACATCAGTAAAAAAATAACCAGACATTATGCCTTCTTATTAAAGAACACAACACCATCTATGATGTCTTGCCAAAAAAACTGAACTTGAATCTGACCAAGACTCTATATCCAAATTTTACATGAGACAGGAGTATTTTAAATGACACCA